AATGCTAGATCTAATGGCTGACAATCAGACTAAATCATGAAAAGCTAAAATCGATCAGCGGACCATTTTCTTGATGCATGGTTACAAAGCCGAAGCATAAAACAAAAATGGTTTACTATCGGTCGACATGTTTCAGTACTGGTTATGTTACTGGGATTATTTGGCAATGAAATGCGTAGACTTTTAGAAACACCGTTCCATGCAACAATAAAGTTTTTTCAAGAGTTAATCATGGTCCCAGAATCACAAAACTTTTCAAGTTAACAATTACTGCTACTACCGTACTGATTAGAAGACATCGATTAAAACTCGTGCACCAGAAATTTGCAACGAATTGACAATCGCGTAACGTAAGTCTTAAGAGGAAACTTGGCGTGGCTCTTCTCTCTAACACTTCCCCCTCCCCCTGCAAGTCTCAGAGATTTTTAAACATGCATTTCAGGCAATGAGCAACAGGTTCACAATGTCAATTGATATGAGACTCAATCCATACTGAAATTTATACTTATTCAGAACATGCAAGACTGTCACAAAGTAACAATTTATTGCTCTTTTCCAAAAATTATTTTTATGCGCGTTTATACGTACAACAGAACACTAAACATCACGATTGAATTGAGATTAATATACGGACTAGATAATATGTTCGTTCATATTATTCATGCTAGCAACCAATAGACACTCGACAACGAAGCAGTGAAAAGCAGCTGGAAGCTCAGACACCGAAACATGAGCGGCTTTCATGCGCGGCTGACAGGTACTTTGAAAGTGTTGAATTCAGCGATGATGTCATCAGCTGTCATTAACTTTATATTGTCTCAACTATGGTTCTTGGTTGTCTCTTCCCAGACGATCGCTTATGGTAAGCTGATTTTCAGTCCTTGCCATTTACGTCTTTCAGAAAATCCCAGAAATCACTTCAGTTTTACCGATCTACCCTGTGAGCACACTGTGTCATTTGTAAATGCAATAGCCTATGCCCTTTTATATTCTTAGTTCTAACAGTTTGCTACCTGTGTAGTCAGCCACTGAGGGAGTCAATAATTAATGTATACAATCTGATCATGTTTATGAGATTTACATTTTCTGACATGACCATACAAGCCGTCTATACTACTGCATCACCTGAGCGCGGTTCAGGAATCACTGTCCATTCACAAGCATCTATCGATGCAGCATAGAATGTTAAAGTTGATGTTATAAAAACCAAGTGCCAATTGCCCTCCTAAGAAATTTCACTTGTTTCTAACGAATCTAATTATTCTCTTCATAATTTAATGTCTGTTCATACTACCGGGATTCTACAGCTGGTGGAGCGTCAGACTCAAAGGCGAGAGGTCTCAGACTCGAGTCCTGGTCCGTTCGCTCTCTTAACTTTCTTTCTAGGTAAATAAATAAGTACAACTCTGTGAAAGAACGCAGGGCTTGCCACAGGGTTGTGGACTCCGTCTTTGAAAAAATGCAATTTTGGTTGATGAGCTAGTAATGGAGATCATCGGCCCATCATTAACTTCATGAAAATGATGAACGATTTAGGTGATCCCATCAATAAGGTGTATAGAAAATCGACATTCCAACAGTTACAAACATTCCTTCTTCCAATTCATCCACCTTCTGTATTTCATACTTGTGCGGTATCAATATTTGAAGGGGGAAATATGTAGACACATGGTCTTTTGACGCTATGGTTACATGTCGAAATGGAATGCGTTGACAAAAGAC